TCACAGCAGGTCTCAGGCCTTTCCCCAATTTACATATTTTGAGAATTTAAAGTCCAAGACAGAAATGTGAACTGAGAAGTGGTATGCAAATGCTATTGCTGGAATTTTTGAACCCAAAACAAGGGGCAAATAAATATTATAAATATTATTAGCTACCAAAAAATCCTAGGGGCATATTTATTTGCACAAGTGCTAACCCTAAACACACAGAAAGAAATTATGAAAATAAATCCTAAAATTTGTATTTTGTCATTATCTGAAAAGACCTTGTTTAACCGACCTCAGGAAAAAAAGCTTAAAATGAAGGGAAGGGGAAAGTGTATTTTTTTTATATATATATGTATGCTTTTAATATAACTGAATAGCTCCTAAATGTAAAACCATAATATCCTTAATTTAGTTTTTTCCTTTCTTCTAAAATCCACAACAATTATACTAAAATGCCTACTTACCAAAACAGGAATATTTAATGTTCTAATTAAGTCAATTTTAGGGTCTCCCACAGATTGGTTTCGTTCAAAAACATAGGCCTTGTTGCTAACAGCGGATATTGTTGTTCCGTTATCTCCAAATTGAACATTTGCTTTGTTTCTGAGTTCCCTAAAAGAAAGAAAAGGATTTTATTTGAAAACAGGCACCACTTAAATGAGCAAGACTTCTTCCTTTCTTTCAACATCAAAGTTATAATAATCCCAATATAACCATTATATATAGAGAGATCACAGGTACTAGGCCCTTAAAACCTGGAGATTAAAGTTATATTATGGGAAGAAATGAGGCCGAGGATACAATCTTCTGAAAAAACTGCTGTTCACTCTTTCCCCCCATGACTGGGGAAGTACAACAGCCAAGGGTCACCTTGACCAGGGAATCAATCAATGAATTCTCTCCTGGGTTATGGTTTGGTCCTGAATTAGTTTCAAAATTTTCTGTTCAGTTCGTAGATTCACTTAGAATTTCAATTTGTTTAATGATGTCTTTTCATTTTTAACTCAAATTCAGTAGAAATTTCATTTTAAAAAAACCAATGCCCAAGGCTTAGTAAACTAGAGGAGTTTCTGATATACAGCTTGGTTTGGTTGAAGTTAGTGCCCCCACATGAACTATTAGGAAAGCTGCTAGAAAGTGCTGGTACTAGGACCGGGCCTAGGGTTAGTGTCAGTGAGGATTCACCTTGGGCATAAAGCACCAAAACACTCAGTAATCAAGACAAATAATATTTTAATGCAACATTTCTTAAAATCGAAATTAATGCCAAGAATTCATGATGAACAAAATATAAAAATGTTAATAAAAACAGGATCTGATCTTTCGTTCATCGAATGCCTCAAGCTAGTCCTGGCCCTTCCTGGTACACAGCAGCGGTTCAACAAACCTCAGTGTCTTTCCTTCTCTCCCTCTGTTTACCTTTTCTTCTTCCTTTACCATCTAGGGCTGTTCTGTCTGACATGGCAGCCACACTAGTCACTAATTGGAACTGAGATATGTTGTTAGTGTAAAATAGACATCGGATTTCAAAACCAGCACCAAAAAAAAAAAAAAAGAATGTAAAATATCTCCTTACCTTTTGTATACTGACTACATATTGAAATGATGCTATTTTATATATAATGGGTAAAATAAATATATATTACTAAAATTTATTTCACCTGTTTCTTTTTCCTTTTTTTTACATGTGGCTACTAGAAAATCTTCAGTCACATATGTGGCTCGTGTAATGTTTTGATTGGACAGAGCTAATCTAAGAGCTTATAACTCAGATACAGGTTAGGAAGGCATTAGGCAGCTGGGCTCCCCACCCCCTCCTCCTGAGGCCTTTCCTGACCACAGCAGCACACAGGGATATTTATCACCCACCTGTGGAGTTTGCTGTCTGTACACGTCTTTGGCAGTCAGTTATAAACTGCTGAGTGATATTATTTAGATTGTGAAAGAATTCTCATGTAGCCTCAGCTAGACCGCAAGCAAGCTAAAGGCAGAAACTTATATATCATACCCCTTTATATCTCTTAAATCCTTTTTAGATTTTAAAATAAAAATACAAGAAAATAATAAACAAATGCATACATACAGATCTATAAAAACAGATGAGTCTTTGTAACTTCTATGGCACTAAGCACCAAGCCATGCACAATAATCATGTAAGTATCTGACACTTGCATAGCTCTTCGAAGGGTTTAACCCATGCTATGTCATTTTATTTCATTTAATCCTTACAACAAGCGTGTAGTACAGACAGAGCAAGTATTACTGGCCACTTATACAGATGGGGTGCTGGGCACAGATGAACAGTAGAAGCGTCAGAACTTGAACTCAAGTCTTATCACGAGCACATAGTACCCTTCTCCCTGTATCAGACAGCCTCTCAGAACAGGAGTCTAAAAAATGTGCATAGGAGGAAATCAATGAATGCCTCCAACAAAAGCCAAACCTAAATAATGATGAGAGAAAAAAATTACATACCCTTCCAGCTCACAAAGAATACATAAAAATCTGATAGAGGCTGTTGTGCGAAAACACTTACACACTATGAAGCTAGGAGGCATCTGCACTGGACTTCTGGTTGTTAGACAGCCATTTCCCTCACTTCTGGCAATGGTCATGATGTCCTTTCATCTCCTGCACCGTGCGGCTGTGCAAGGCCATCAACCAAGGGTGCCGTGGGACCCAAGCTCAACCAGCTCTTTTCCTCTGGCCTCTGAGTCCCGACCACAGAGCCTCAAGATGGAAACCACGGCAAGACCAGATTCCTCCCAGCACTGCATGCGTGCTGAGATGATCCACAGGCTCCCCCAACTTGGATCTTCAAAGCTGCCCTAAACCCCACCCTGTCTTCCAAGCTACTTCCTTTGATTAACCTACTTTATAGCCTTCAGTGGATTCCCTTTTTACTTAAATTAGTCAGCGATAGTTTTCCAGCTTGCAACCAGAGACCCCTCATCTACAAATCATAACCCAGGCTTTTCATAGATGAGAAAACGGGGATGCAGGACCAACCAGAAAGTGTCAGAACCAGGTTTAAAATCCTGGTCACCCTACCTTTCATCCAGGGTTTTCCTAGAACTACCCAGAAGTTAGTTCAAAGCGATTTGTTTCTAGAGGGAGGAGGAGAGGAAATTTCAAAGCCAAACCCCAGCCTCAGCTTAGGCTGGTGCTCACAGGGAGGGGCAAATTCATCCCCATTCACTTCCTGTCCCCAAATCCTCCCTGCAGGGAGGATGAGGGGGAAGCCTTCTCCAGGGGTAGCTGTTTATAGCCAGTGCTTAGCACCCCAAGTCAGCCTAGCCCACCACTAAGGAACTAGAAGTAGAAAAAATGACCCCAGAGTGAATGCCAATTTGTACCCAAAGGCAGCTGAGGCAGGAAGCCCAAGAGATGGCACTAAAAATAGGTCCAGAATCCAGGAGTCAGCTTTGCCAAGTTTTCTGACTAATGTCGAAATCAATGACCTTGCTAAGGCTTTTTCTGCTTTCTTCACCCGAGCCCTGGGTCATGAACCAAGAGGCCTATATAATCCGAAGCCTGAGGCCTGCTTCATTTATGTCTGTTTATATTTACTGACCCTGGTGATGACTTTTAAAATGTTTTCTTTACTACTTACCCTGTGAGAACCTGATGTTTTAAGGGAAAATTGAGCACAAAGATTGCAATCACTTTAAGCTTTGTAACTTAATTTGGTTTCTCAATAAATTTCAACATGTCAAAGCCAAGGTTTCCCAAATCATAAAAAAATATACTTCCCTTGGCAGGCTGACCATGTCAGGTCACTTGCAGCTAACCCCATGACAATATACTTCCCTTGGCAGGGTGACCATGTCGGGTCACTTGCAGCTAACCCCATGACAATATACTTACCTTGGCAGGCTGACCATGTCAGGTCACTTGCAGCTAACCCCACGACTTCTCTCAGCAATTTGGGGTCTGCTGCCTACCACCCTAAGGTATGACTGACAGGTGGCCTTTATAGAGCAGCTCTACCTGAAGGAAGACAGTGCCAGGGGACTGTAAGAAGTGACTTCCCACTCACCAGAGGCCAAGAACACCAAAGAGAGGAATGGTGAGGGACCTTCCTCTCAAGACAACAAATGACAGTCAGAGGAAACCAAAATGTTTCCCTCCCAAGTACTCCTACTCTGGCAACCCCAGGACAGCCACAGCATGTGGTAAAGAGTTTCAGTGACAATGCCAGTAAGTCTGTCACCTAAATCTCCCTATGATCAACAACAGTCAGCTAGAAGTAGGGAGGTCTCTGATGAACAGAAGACTAAGAGCAAGAAGTGGTTGATTTCCGCCTTACAGTATCAGAGAAGACCACAGAAACTTTCAGAAATACAAACAAGAGCTAAAAATGAAAACGATACAAAAAAAAACCCAAAAAACAAAAAACAAAAAAATCTTGGGCCTAGCCAGTTAATCAAGGAACCATATTTAAAAGTGCCTGGTATGGTCCCTGGTATTTATTTATTTACCTATTTATGGCAGCTGGCCGGGAAGGGGATTCAAACCCTTGACTCTGGTGTTATCAGCATCACCTTCTAACCAAGCGAGCTAGCCAGTCAGCCCCGGTCCCCAGTACTTAGTAGAAGCAAGTGGCAGCTGGCCGGGAAGGGGATTCAAACCCTTGACTCTGGTGTTATCAGGATCACCTTCTAACCAAGCGAGCTAGCCAGTCAGCCCCGGTCCCCAGTACTTAGTAGAAGCAAATAAATCTCAGACTATAGGTTAACATTTGGTAATCACAATGATGGTCCTAGTCACAAAGAAAAGGTTGAGTTATGTTCCGTAAACTATTTAATTATGCAGGAAAATCCACAATTGATTTTAGAAATAATAGTCTGAGGTAAGGCATGGAAACCAAAAGAAATGCTTTTCATTAGCTGGAAAATTAACACCACTGCATCTAATTCCTCAGAAATGCTGGATAAATTGGATTCCTACAATACTATCATATAATCTTTATCTTTCAGTCATTTGGTTCCTTCTCTCATCCAATGTTTCTTGTTGAGAATTACCATAAGTGACTGAGAACGCTGGCTAGAAATGAAGATTGACATCTGGCTGCCAAATTTTGCATTCAACCCTGCCTTCATGGTTACAGACTCTGTAACTAAGGAGAAGTTACTTATTGCTTCTGTGCCTCAGTTTCCTCATCTGTAGAATGGAGGCAACGAAACTACCTCATAGGGCTGTTGTGAGAATTAAATCCACATAAATTCATAATTCAGTTAGAACACTACCTGGCACTTACTAAGTGCTTAGGAAGCATTAGCTGCTAATACCATGTGCAAGGGCTTGTGCTAAGCTCTCCAGTGGAGAGATGTCAAGTCCTGGGTCCTGTCCTCCCAGAATCCACAGTGGAGCCGGGGAGACCGCTGCCTCGTGGTAGGAGCTCTGTGAAACTCAGGAGGGAGGAACGGCGACGGGCAAGGAGTCCTGAGAAAGTGACATGGTACAGGAGGCCCGCTGGGGTTGGTTCTGGAAGGAGGGTGGAGGGGGCCTTGCAGACAGGGGCAGAAGGAGAGCAAGGGCAGGTGGTGCGGAAAGAAGGCAGGGCCGTGCTTCCCACGTGCAGGGTGAGAAAGCTGTGGCCCTGGCAGAGG